TAGGCTCTCTTCATCTGGGACCTGTTCCCAACCCCTGATCATTTTAGTTGCCCTCCCCTCTCCCAGCCTCTCTCTTCCCCTCTCCCACCTCCTTTTCCCAGTCTCCCCCAGTTTTGTTGAATAAAGACAGATTCCATTTTGGAAGACACGTTATCTTTATTTTGTACATCAATAAGAAGGGGGGCTAGGGAAGGGTAAGTGGAAGGAGGTGAGGGAGGAATGGGGTATGAGCCCCCGATGGGGAGGACTGGGCTGGCTCTGCGGGCTTCTGGGGGTGGAAGCTCTCCTGCAGCCCCCCAATTACTCCCTCTCCCCAGATGGCAGCCTGCGGCAAGTGCAGCCGGGCTGATGGCCGAGTGGTGTGATGTGCCCAGTGTGGGCACTCAGGGCACTCCAAGCCAGAACTTCTTTGCAAGCGGGGCACCCCTTAGAACTGTGTGTCCGGGGTGGGGGTCGGGACCCTTTAAGCGCAGCCCTCGGCTAGCCTGAGACAGCATCTCCATGCTCTAAGTCCTCCTCTTATGCCCTGCCGGCACTGCTTCCGGCCATCCTTAAGCCCTGTTCAGAGTCCACTCAATGTGGACTTGCTAGTTCAAATTAGCAAAACGCTAATTCGAACTAGTTTTTAGTTCTAGACGCGTTAGTTCGAATTAGCTTAGTTTGAATCAAGTAATTCGAACTAAGTTAGTTCGAACTAGCGCTGTAGTGTAGACGTACCCTTACTTAAGAATTTGAGAAAGTAGGGACTTTGTGATTGCCCTAATGCATCAACTCCAAAACCAAAAAAAACCACCCTAGAATGTAGTCATTCAGAGAAGGGACTTTTTCTTCGTTACATGTTTGTAAAGTGCATGCCCCAGTGGGGTTCAAGCCTTTAGGTACTATGTAATACCAATAATAATAATAAAACAAAGGCAGGCCTTGATCCTGTGATTGGATCCATAAACTACAAATAAATGCTTATTTGGGAAAATCAAACTTTGCTTTACTGCATACTCTGTCTCTAGCACTGAGAACAATTTTCAAAAATTTTCAGTGTTAACTGAAGCATCAAACTTTGTAAGTAAAGTCAATTTGATCATCCTTTTCTGAGTTTCAGTTACATCATGCTGAAATTTGTCAACCAAGGAAGAAAACAATTAGACGCATTTTGAGGATGTCCCACTGACTCCGGGCTGCACACGGTGTGCCAGCTTTGAAATGGACAAGAGTTCCCAATGGGCATGTGCATTTCAAAGCCACAGTGCAGCATGGAGCCTGGGGTCAGCATGGGACTCAGAGTCCTCCACTGACCCCAGGCTCTATGCTGCACTGCGGATTTGATATGCTGCGTGGAGCCGGGGCTCCCCGCAGCATTACCCCAGAACTGATCCCCAGGCTCCCCAGCTGATCCCGGAGTCCATGGAAGTGCTGTGGAGTCCCGGATCAGCTGGGGAGTCCCCAGCTGACTCCGGGCTCCAGAGCGCCACTTAGAAACGCCGCCCTGGTGTTTCAAAGGGCTGCCCCTTTGAAGTACCTCATCCCACCCCCCTTTGCTGCCTCTATCGGATAGAGGCAGCAAAGGGGAAAGGGGTAATCAACTAGTTGACTCACTATCCGATAAGCTTTTGCTTATTGGATAGTCGACTAGTCCTTAACATCCTTACTGAGAAGACAAAGCTGCTCTAATGATTTCAACAGTTAGCTAGCTGCATGTGAAGTTTAGATACAAGTTTAATACCTTTTCCACCAGTGCTGGTCTTAAGAAGCAAAACTATTAGGAAGCTAAGTATGGATAGGAAAGACGGGAGGCAGGTAGAACCATACAAAGGGACACTGAAGGAATTTCTAGACTGCATCCCTCTGTCGGCAGAGGGATGCAGATTAGGCAGGTCAACATTGCAAATGAGGCAGGGATTTAAATAGCCTGCACCTAATTTGCATTAAAATGGCTGTCGTGTTTTGCCGACTCAGCACTTTGTCAGCAAAAAGTGGCAGTCTAGAGGGGGATCTGTCTAGAAAGAAAGCCGTTTTCGACAGATCCTGTAAACCTCCTTTCAGGAGCCATAAGGGATCTGTTGAAAAAGGCTTTCTTTCTTGACAGATCCCCCTCTAGACTGCCACTTTTTGCCAACAAAGCGCTGAGGCGGCAAAACATGGTGGCCATTTTTATGAAAATTAGACACGGGATATTTAAATCTCTGCCTCATTTGCAGTGTCGACCTGCCTAATCTGCATCCCTCTCCTGACAGAGGGATGCAGTCTAGACATACCCAGAGGATCCACTAAGGAAAAGACAAAGGGCCAGGGAATGCCAATGCAAAAGATGGACTGCTACAATAAAAAAGAAAGGAGGGTGCATGCACACACACATAATCCCAGGATTGGGGAGAAGAAAAGGGAAAAAAGTTAACTGTATAATTTTAATATTGTGGGAATCTTATTTCAGTTCCTTTTGGCCGTTTATCCAATTAACTGCCTGCATTAATTAGATTGATAGCCAAAAGAAACACAGAAATAAAAAACCCTCACTAAGAAAACTTTTGACTCTTCTCCTTTTGCCCCCTCCTGGGAATAGGAAGGCAAGTTTCCCCCATAGACAAAATGAAATTAGAGCCCAGCAGTGTTAATTCATGTTTTGCCACATTTCAAATGCACATGTATTTTTTTTTAGTAAGAAATCTTCCCTGGGAGGTTGGTTTAGTTCTATACAATTGTTGCCCTTGCTTAATTTGTTAAATGCACTTCCATTCAGCCCCAGCCTCTGTTCCATTCCTCAAGTGAATCATTTTAATAACAAGCATGTTACAAGAATTCCGCCTGTCTATCCTGTACAAAGATGATTTCACGGAGAAAGGTAAGTGGGAGTTGAGGGCAAGGAGTTTACAAAGTGTAGAAAAAAAGCTGTTTATCTTCTCTGTACTCTTCTTGCCTTTGGGCCAGCTGTGTAGCAGTTATAATAAGCCACTCTAGTGAATATGAAGATTTAAATTTCATGGCAAGAAACAAATAAAATAAAAGACCAGAAATAAAAAAGGTGCCCAGACAGTGGCTGACCACTTACTGGTTTTTTTTGGATCACAGGGTATGACTACACTACAGAGTTTTGTCAGAAAAACGACCGTTTTTCCGACAAAACTTGAGGAATGGCCACACCGCAATTGCGTTCTTCTGCAAGAAAATTGAAAGAACAGAGGGGTTTTTCCAGCATAGGTAATCCTCATTCTACGAGGAAGAAGCCTTTTTGCAAAA